TGTTTGTTGTGGTTTGTAGGATAGGGTTGAGAGAAGGCCAAGAGGGCTAACGATCATTTTATTTATTTTTGTAGTCTGGGAAAAAGCTATTATATTTGTGTAATAACTCAATTTCGTCTGGTGGTTGAATCGATCGATATAGTTTTGAGATTGGTCGTCGGAGTGTGTTATGGTTTGTACTATGGGGTTGTGAGAAGGCCAGCGATCGGATCGAAGCATATTCGCGCGGTCGCGAGTTCCCCGTGGCTCGTATTCGAAACCGCGGCAGCATTAAAGAGCAACGTACTGTGACAATCAGCGACAATGCAGAGTACACGGTCGAGAAGGAGGTAAAATGGACACAAAACGGCGTATAATAAATCGACGAACGTATATACGTGTACCGCAACCTACCGCAACGCGCTCCGGTCAGAGCATGGACACGATCTGACAGATAAGGGGGTGGCGGGACGGGCGTAATGGGGTATAATTGTCGCGAGCAATGCGAGGACAGTGCGTCATTACCGCATTTTTCACCATCTTCTTGCCGGCCAACGGTAGAGATGCGCTTTGCACCGGTGTTCACAGGCTTTGCACGCCTTACTTTTTTCCACGTAGCCGCGGGTTCTCAGGAATTTCGTTGGAACGCCGTCGCCGAGCGTCGTCGTTGAGGTAGGCCCTAGCTGTACCGTCGACACCGTCCAGGCCACACGGGGCGAAAGTACAAAAGACGCGAGTACCGACCGTTAGGTGACCGCCTACGAAATATCAACGGATTAATCCTGGCCAACGCGATACGAAAGAGTCCGGGTGAAAAGATTCACCGGGTATATACTCGAACGGTTTTGGATCTCCGTGGTTCCCACAGAACGAATTCTGACCAGACCTTTTCAAAACCGTGAGACAATGTTGATCCTGCGCTTTTTTAACACTTTGACTGCACATCCATTGTATGGACTTTTCGGTATTAGGAACCGGGGGAAATTAATTCTCAAGTTGAGACGAGGAAAATAAATTTGGATAGGATTTGTGAATTTTAGCGGGGTTGCAAAAATGAGTGAAACTGATTTTAGGTTGTGTAGTTTGCAATGGTCTGAAATCAAAATTGTACTGCCAGTGGACATGTTAATGTGTAGTTTAGGGGTTGGGTACTCTATTTGACTCTATTTGGGATTTTATCGCCCTTCAACACCCTACCTTATGCAATTAAAAATACTCTTTTTTTATCAATTCATAATTTCCCACCAATGATGCTGTAGTACTCAGAAACGTCAGAGCACTTTTCTAAAGGAATTCTGTGAGACGTATCGTTGCTTTTAATTACGAAAATTGTTCGATTTTGGAAATTTCTAAATTGTTAACGATCATAGAAAAATTGTACATTCCCCAAGGGTTGGACCTTTTAGAAATTTATTTCTAAACGACAAAAACACATTCAGGAATTTTTTCGATAAAGACAAAAATATGTATGAATAATATATACAAACTTTTTTTAAATTTTTCTTAAAAAAGAATACAACGGTCGATAGTAAATAAAACTTGTACGGTTGAATCAGTTTTCTCAAACAGAATTTCAACAAATATTATATTAAAATACGAAAAACTCTTACATTAGTCGATAAGCATTCTTCACACGTATCTCTATTTTTATCGAAAAATTTTGATCAAAAGGGGAAGTTTTGTTCCTCGGAAATAAATTCAGCCGAAAATAATGCATATTTCTAACATATCCCGATAACTTGAGGCTTTAAGCGGGAATAGATTAGTTAACAATTGCTCGATGCTCGTTTCCATACGAGTAACGAATCTCTTTTCGTATATCTTGTCAGCGAATTCTCGATACAACCGAGATAAGAGAATAGTTTCTACACAAGGCAAATCCGTTGATGCATTCCGGTTGGCAAGGTTGCAAGTTACAAGCCGCAGGTGGCTCTTTGGATTTCTTACACTGTAAGAATGCGAACTTGCTCGAAAGCGCACCTATCATCGTAATTCCCTCCTCGGACAAATTTGGCCAGCCGCGGCGGACATATCGTATGGCAATTAAATTCTAGTGGTACAAAAACGTGGCGCGATTAAAGAAACTGGCGAAAGTACACGATGCGTATACGAACGACAAGTAAGGAAATATAATCGTGGACGCCGAGATCGTTTACCAGGACCGCAACTTCTGGTACGATAAAAATACCTGCCGCATTATTGAATAGCTATTTTCACAAAACTACACTGTTTTTTGCCCATCCCGTTGGAAAGTCAAATACTAAAGGCATCCTTACAACCAGCTAGTTAAATCTCAATCGCCTGTTTTCCTATTTCGTTTCGTTCACTGCCACAACAAATCCCTCGAATTGACCACGAAAAGACCACCACTCTGTCTCTATACAAGCTGTTCACAGACTTATTTTTATGAACTCGTCAAAATTCAGGACGATATTATTTAGATTCGATCTCGATCGAAGAAGTTTCTGAAATTTTACATTACATTCAGCTTCTGACATAAAAATATGAACTTTGTGTATAATTGTACCAAAAATATTTAACAAAAAAGAAGAGCTAAATCCCTTGAGTTATCCATGAGACCACAATTTTGTTTCTAGACAAGCTGTTCACAGATTTATTTCTATAAACTCGTTAAAATTCAAGACTCCTATTTAGATTCATCTCGATCGAAAAAGTTTCTGAAATTTTACATTACATTTAGTTCCTGATGGGTACAAAAATATGTATTTGCTGTATAATTGTATTATACAAAAAAGAAACTGAATATTTGAAACTTGTTGACCAGAATGTGCCCCCTCGTACGAGGCACTAAAAATTAATCAACGTGCCGGGAAAGTCACGTGCGCGGATGGGAGAAAATTCACACTGCTTCGGAGGATATTTATCGGTGTCGGTAGGAACGTGTGATCTATCTATCCGTGGTCGAAATTCCATCGCAATCTGCACGGTGGAAGAGGAGGCGCGTGCCCCGTTGCTTATCATCGAATATTGCTGTCCGCCGAATTACTAAGAATCAACGCGTTGCCCTCGCGAGACGAGAACGAGCGAGGTTCAAGCAATTACCGGGTAGTCGCAAGAAAAGATACCACCGTTAGACGGTGCGCGCGTCGACACGGTTTTCATGGTACTTTGGGGCGCAAACTTCCCCGCGGCAAATTACTCTCTCACCAAGACGCGAAACGCACTTAAGAGCCGCTCATTAATATGCGTTAAGTGTCCGAGATGTCTCCCTGCCCTCTCCCTCCCGCCCTTCTTTTCGCTGTATCTTTCTCTCTCTCTTTCTTTGTCCGCTTATTTTTCTCCATGCGACTCGGGAACGCGTCCGTCGTGCACGTTGCGTCACGTGTTGCTGCACATTAAAATTAAATTTGTTGGCGCCCGTATACGATCGCGCAACATATCTACATATTCCATTCTTCGATACGATCGTTATATCGAGCAACGTTTTTCCCCTTCACAGTATTTCTGCTAAACGCGTCGAGAAACGTCTCCCGAAATTTTAATTTGAAATTATTTTTCCTCGGTCGATTTATCGACTTTAAGTATTCTTTTTTTTTAAGAATGATTTATCTTCAAACGTAAAGGTATCAGAAATAGTTTAATTGACTTGTGGTAATATTTTACATGGTGGCTCGAAGATAAATATCCCCGTCAATTCTTCGTCATTTAATTGTTTCTTTAACGAAAAACTACCCTTTCATCGAAGAAGAAGAAATTTTTGTTATATAGTTAATTTGCTCCTTAATTAAATTAATGATACTAAAAAAGGCTTTGAAAGATGTATGTTTACTATACGGTGGGGCACATGGAAAACAATATAAAACGTACATTAATCATTCTTGGCCATTTTTTTTAGAACTTTCGTTAATTGTAATTAAAAACCATTTCTGTGTTCTCTGGTCTAACTAGTCAATACATATTTCATTTAACTAAAATTCCAAAACTTATAAAGACTCAAGACATTAAAATGATCCATTATTGCTAGCGATCACAAATTATTCGAATTATGCATTGGGTTGCTTTCGAGTTGGTTCCTTAAAGCTACTGTATTTCGAAAATCGAAGCTTCGTTTTGGTATGATGGCAGAACTATTCGAATATTCTCTCTGGTACCAAGTTTGCGCGAGTATCGGGGCGTTTGGAAAGATTGGTCGTCGCATCGACGGAGTTGTTCGAACGTCGAAACATCGTTGTTTGGGTTATCGGCTCGGCTACCACGTTAGAAATCAAAGACAGAATATTCGCTCGGAGCGAACGCACAGGACAGCATCGTCTCGGGGAGAAAGACGGCAGTGTTTAAACGGAGAAAGAGAAAACTTGTACGCGGTGGAGTGCGGTGGTTATACATCCTCCAAATGCGTACGCGACTGCTGATGGTTTGTCGTCGTAGCGGTGCACGTGATCCCAGGCCCCTCATCAAGGGTCGTAACTCGTGAAATAATGCGACGACGAATTCACGTGGATGTAATTCGACGAACGGTGATCCCGAAACTGCCGGATGATCATAAGACGGCCTCGATCGAAATCTACCATTTAGGCGCTTACTATCGACGAAGAGAGTACCTCCGAGGGTGGGGCGAGGACGGGGAAGGTAGAAGCAACAAGCCGGAAGCTCCCAGAATGATTTATCTCGAGGGTACCTTTTCTGAGACTCTCACGTCAAATCGTTGATTGCTACCGACCAGCTGGTTCTTATCTTCAAAATACACGGACGATTCCGTTAATAACGTACCGCGGTAGTTAGCCATGAATTGGTAATTGGAAACGAGCCGAATTGTCAGACACGCGAGCAACACCGTGGAAATTAACGAAACTACGTCCACTACGAAACTTTATCGAATCCCTTTGATAACTTTTCGCACGCCTTCCTTTACATCAATCTTGCGATCTTACTGCACCTTGTCCAAGGAAACGAAACAGCAGTTTTTGTTTGCTTTTACTTTGCTGTCTCGTCTCGTTGGACAAAGTGTAGGCGAGCGTGATATAATGTCAGATGTTTGAACGATCGACTGTGTCTTTTAGGGCTAGGCAGTCTTCTGGTGACTCTGCTCGTGATCTCGGTGCAGGGCGCTCCGACGATGACCCTCGAGAGTAGACGACTGAGCTCGCCCCCGAAGTGGGTGAATCCCTGTGGCCTTTCCGCCGAAGACTTCACCGGTGATCCGGACGTGGTGCAGCTGTCGGACTCTCAGCTTCTCCACCAGGTCGTCGTACAGGCGAAAACGGCGCTGATGCACGCGGAGCTTTTTCGCGACGATTACGTGAGTACACACCGCAGCTATGCGCGTCTTTCTTTCCGCCGACGACGTTTCTTTTCGTCATCCTTCCGTCAGAAACAACGTTTCCAAGAATCTGTGTTTCCCGCCGCACTGACACAGTCCGCTCGCGCGCCGATATCGATGATCGGAGACGGAGATTAAGTTCATCAATGGTTCAATAATTACTGACGTGACTTCTGGCCGGGGGCCAGACGGGGAAAGGGGACATCGAGCGGAAGGCAGTTATGGCAGTACTTCCGGTCGTACGGACGTTGATCGTTGAGTCCTGTAAGCCTTCGAAAGAGATCTCGGACTTACAAATCGTCTGTTGTACCCAATCGAAGACACGCGTTTCAATCCAGCGTTATATTGCGTGGAAATCTTCGTAATTTCGACAAGAAAAATACTTGTCGACCGAACGATACTAGAACACGTCGTGGGTGCAACGAAACCAACTTTTTGAAATTAACTTGTTTAACTATAATTTTTTAGTTGCTGGTTGTTTAATTTTGTTGCCTGGAAACTTGTTCTTTTTGTGATTTTTTAATCGTCAGACCATTGCGTTTAGTATCGTTTCTATTCAGCAGGTATTCTATCGTAAACCTTTGGAAGTGTTGATTTCTTTTTCCTTTTTTTTGGAAAATACACGTACGAAATTCGTACGAATTATAAAAATATTCCATTCGATTCTCACTTGTGTTTTTAAATTTTTTTAATTGAATTAATTATTTTCACCGAAATAATTTAAAGAGAAAATAGTGTGACTCGATTATCTTTGCCCACAGTTTCAACAAAGTATTTTTGGAATACAATTATCGTAAATAATTTCGTTCTCGTGCGATCGATCGTCAAACATTTGAATATTACTTTTGATACGGACTGGATTGGAAAGTGGCCACAACAAAATTACCCCCGTTTCTCTTATTTCGACTATTACGCGTAATATTTATCGCCCGTAATTGCATACATCGGAAATGTAAAACAGTGTAAATGGCAGAAACGAGCTTCCTCGATGCCCGTTAAGAAGAAACTTGTTGAATTTCGTTCCGATGAAACGAATGCAGTTTATCGTTGCCGTTTCTGACGTTCGCGGTCCAGGCAGATATCCGCTCTCTTGCTCTACCTTTTCTAGATATTATGAAATGTGTAAGCGATCTCAGAAAATAAAAAAAAGGTAAAAGAAAAAAAGAAGAAAAATAGATCCGTACGACCGGCGCACGAGATGCTTCGTTTCGAAAGAATCTTCCCAGCCGATCGTGCCTTATTATCTCTAACCAAGGACAATAAATCACGGTCCGGGTTCGGCCTGTTGCTCAAGGTTCCTCTTCTGAAACGATCCGAAAAAAGAGACGTGGAAACCGCAGGATCGAAGGTACGGTTACACACGCGAATCTTTACTCTCGTTTTTTAGGATAGATTAAGCTTGTCCCCCTAGTTATGCATCGTGCACACGTGTCGACATGATTTCGGCTCTATAACAGAACGTCCTTATGTGCCCGCCAAATTCTTGGACCCACCTGACTCATCCATCGCGACCGCTCTACGCGCTTCCTGTTTCTCTATTACTTCGGGACTTGTTTAGGATCCTCGTGTGCGCTGTACAGTTTGGATTACATCGTTGCCTCGAGCTCCCATCGAAGCAGGATCGAATAACATACTTCAGAAATTATCATGCGTCGTTGTTACCGCGTTGACAGTCGGATTGCGGACGGTTGCTTCTAACCCAAGCTTCCTAAACGCCACAGAACTTTAGATTTCTATTTTTATATTGAAATATAAACGTACGATTTATCCAGAAAATAATAGCATCAGAAAAAGTATTCGGTACTCTTTTTATTGTATATTTTCGCGATCCGTGCACAAAGTATTTCTAAACGTTCGTCATAGTTTTTACTATTGTATATTCAGTGTCATTATGCAATACTGCAAACGGGTTTTTAAAGACGGAGTAGCTTGTTGATTCTTTCGTAAAATATGTTCAATGTCTCGATCAATAGTGTCCTGAATAATCCATGAATCGCTCGATTATGAAGACCGAGTATGAGTCTAAAGTGATCCACTTTGTCAAACTCCGAGCTAAATTATTTTCACGTAGATGTACAAATTCGAAGTAGAAAACTTCGTTGTAGAAACTTATTTATTTCTGTCACTGTCTTATTTTTAATATGTGACTGTTAGTTTTTCTATAACACAATAATTGTAAATTAAATTAGTGTCCTAATATATTTCTATTTCTCAAAGAAGAAGTAAACAAAAACATTGAATCTTGGAATGGAAAAATTGTTGTTGAAACGTCACGGTTAGGAGGAACATGTTCTGCAATGATAGAGTCGAAATATTTTTGCAAGCTTCTGAAGGCAATGTAGGCGGTTTAGAAATAAAAATATGAGTTGTACGTAAGTAAATGGCCGCCACTGTATGAACGAGAGAATTAGCATTCAACGGGTGCGACCGCAGAGGGTATTTGTGTGTCTCTGTACGTATAGGGCCCGTTCCACCCTGTGGGCCCCACCGAAGTCACCGTGGAAACGGTCCGCGTTACATCATCGCTCGACGATACTCGATACCGATATTTTCTAAGTAAGCGCATAATCTGATATTGTTTGGTTCCCTAACAGTCCGCCCCCCTACCCCTCTCTTCTTCTTTCTCCGTTCTTCTTTCCCTTCTTGGGAAAACGAACACGGTACACCGTACGGCGCAAGCCACGCTATCTAAAAACAGTCGAAGCATTTCACGGTACGGAATCGTTTCCGTCCTCTCCGACGTCCACCTTTCTCGGACACGGAGACTCTTCGCCAGAGAGTTCTAAGGACGTCCCTGCTGAGATTAACTCTAGTAGGCGTCGCACTGTCTGGTAGTTCAGTGACGTCACCTTCCAGGTCTTGTTATCGTTTTAACGTCGGCAGACACTCTGCCAGAGAAAAAGTAGATTAGAGCTCGGTACCGAGAAGCAACCAAGTTTCGTGTGACTGATTTCCTCTCGCGTGCACGTGGCCAGCGATACAATTTCGATCCGCGAACCCTTTGTTCGTAGAGCGAGTCTATTTGTAACGGTAACTTCGATACGTCTTCGATCGTCTACACCATTTTATTCCATTTATTCTACTGTGAAATGCGTATTTTTGGGCCCTCGATGATTGTTTGGTAGGAAACTTTGTTTCTCGGTATTTCACAGAGACGTTTACCGATGTTTAACACTTATGCAGAAATTTTTCGAGAGTCGAATATTAGTAATCGTTTACAATAATTTAGTAAAACTCGAGTATCGTCGTTTAATCGTCGTCGAGCGGATGTTTTGATTTTCGCGCGAAACGTAATCGACGACGGAACACGCGAAAGGTGGAACTCAAATTTTTTTTAAACGCGCGACGAATTGTGTGACGCGTCCTTGCGAGATGCCCGCAGGCAACCGTGTACATGTGAATTATATCCGATATACTGTTCTTCGTAGATAGGAAGTTCGACGTCTACGAGTTGCATATATGCGCATCGGTACGTGAAGGAATCGGATATAATATCGGAAGCGGAGGATTCCAATAAATCAGAATCGGAAGCTGCCCCTCCCGCCAAGGATGGGGCATCTATACACCACACCGGTACTCCGCCTGCATACTAAAACGCAGACCGGATACACAACCCGCCAGTGCATTTACTCGCCTCGATACGTTCAGTACGCACTACGACACGTATTTTCTGCTACTCGGCTGGCTGGATGTCAGTCCGTACTGTTTCATTCAAGGCTGACATATTTTTCAAATACGCATGCTCGCGACCGATTACGCTCGCCGGAAACCACTCTTCGCCGATCGGGGACGTCCAAACGTCGACGAATCCGTTTTTCCACCCAAACGTTTAACATTCGTATCCATTATTGAGGTAAATCTACGTAGAAATACACCAAAAATAACGTTCAGATGCTTGTAAACAAGCAAATACAATGTTGTTTCACAGAGAAACGTAATAAAACGCGGCTGAACGATTAAATAATTGTCAGGTTTGGGCATTGGTTGAGTCGTTTAATATACGTGGAGACTTGCAAGGAAATGTTTTGGAGCTAAAAAAACATGGAGTCGTGAGACCCGGAGGTGGTCGTCGGTGGAACGTGTTCGCGTGATCGTCGCAACGACCGATTAGAAATAAAGCCACCGGTGGTTCGTTCTAATCCGTTATGACTCAGATTATGGATCCGTTTCTAGGATCCCCGCGTGAAATTACGGAACTCGCGGCGACGAAATAGTACCGGAAGTAGTCGCGGCGGTTACGACGGGGCCATAAAACTGGTGGATTTTGCAAAGGTGGGCGAGAAAACGATCATCGGGATGAAAAATCTGTTGAAATCGAAGATTTTTTTTATTCGTAACCGAGCGTTTCTTTTGTGTCTCGTTGAGCGCGGCACCGTGGACTTGGAAGCAGCGAGCCATTCAATCGGTTCGAGGCCGTCGCACCGAAATTTTATAACTTCTAATAAGCGGTGGAGCGGTGAAGCCGCGCTAGAAGAAAGACTGAGAGACTAATTGATTTTGACGGGTCCTCGAGAGTACCGCAGAGACCATACCTACTCTTGCCAGCCTACTTCCTGTCAGTTTTCAGCCCGATTTTACGATTATTCGTGCTCCGGTGTGGCCGAAGAGACTTTTACGAGGCACAAAAGACCCGCGTCTCAGATTTGTTCGCCGCCAGTGGTTGTTAGCGACAATTCCTTTCATTCTTCGCTTTTTCTTCTCCCGTTCCTATGCGTTGTCTCGCTGAAATCTCCCCGTGATTGCCACGAAACGAGCAGCAATACGAAAAATTCCGGATATTCGCGACCTATTTGTTTCGACATCGATGAAAACAGTATCTTCCATGCTCTCACAATCGGTCGATCGGCTATGTACACCAGCGATGCCTGAGTGTATACACTATTACAATTTATAATGCAAATAATAGGAATCAAACAAAATAAATAAATAAATAAAAACTGTATCTCTAAAATGAGGAAAAATTAATTTGTAGTGAAACTGTAATAGAACTTTGTAATTTTAGTTGGACTATCGGATTCAGTCTTTCAATTTCTACGCAAAAGTATTAAGGCACTTGTATCCTAATTGGAATAGTTCAAGAGTTATACCACACAAGAGTTAATGACTACAACAGTTGACACGAAATTTTCATTCGAAAAACAAATAGAGATGCTTCGAATTTGTGGCTGAAAGATATCCAAATATCTGAGAAACAATAAGTTTTAGAACAAGTGTATTTTAATTATTACATTTTTCTCTATACTTATTATTACTTCCCATAGATAAAAGACACATAGTTTTATTTTGTAGCTATCCTACGTACGAGTGTCAAAAGTCAAGTTTCCTGTTTTGCTGCAGGTTGTTCAGAAATTGTGGATAGCCAGCTCTCCATCGGCATCGAAACGATCCATAAAACGCGAGGCTGGAATTCGAGTAGTTCCTTCGGACATTTTGTTATTTTTCTTCATTCCGAGGGAACCGAGAAGATACGAAGATCGGTCGTGGAATAAACGCACGGAGATCGGTTTTAACGTATTTATTAGGGAACCGTTCGCGTAAAATAACCATAAAATAATTTAATTGCCTATTCGATTCCGTGCTCATGAAGTAGCGCGTATCCGAGGATCCCCTAATAGACGACGTTATCCGTGTCGGTGGTAATAACAGCCCGTGACGCAATCAATGACTGGTTTTAATCACCGCGTTCAATGTTTCCGATACAAAGTGTCTATTTTGAAAGGTGTCGATATCTTCCTGGAGGGTTTCATAATTATTTGGGCGTGGAAAGGGATCGATTACTGATAGAAGAAACCGGGTAGCTTCGGAGCACGAGGCCCAATACCGAGAATTTATTCAATAAAGCTCTTTCATTTGACTCTAGTTTCATTCATTAGATTTATTAGTTTTCAGAACGCAATTTTTCGAACTTACGCCACCTTGCACGTTTATTTATTTTATTTACGATCGATATTGAGTTCTATTATTTCGTGCAACTGCGTAAAATGAAGACAATTGCACGAAGAAGTAAATAATAATTCATCGAAGAGAAAGTGAGCTTTTTTTCTAGGGAATCATTTAATTAGAGTTCGTTGTACATTCTGACGTTGTCAAAAGGTTTCAACTAAATAATATCGTGCCCAAGTATTTCGATCGTGAAAATCGTTAGACGCTTTCCAAGTTCTTTTATAGAAAATAAACGTTTACAGAAGGAAACGAGACGACGTTGAAGCATTGTTTTAAACACATATCGATTGACCTGCCTCGCATAAGCACATTTATCATTAAACGTGCCTTCGACCTCGCGTCTTGGACCAGCTGGCGCGCACAGCGATAACGCGACTATCCAAACCCTTATCTGCCCAGGAATGGAAATAATCATCGTGTGATACTGCTCTCACGGCCCGCAAACCGCGATAATCTCTTTAGCAACCAAACAACATTCCTCGGATGTTTCTATGAGTGAACGTGATGGTAGAGTGGGTCGAAATAAATGCAAGAATACGATGCAGATCAACGTGAACCGATGAAAACTTCCTGTAACTCTAAAGTCAATATTTATTTCGTTCGATAAATACCAACTTTCTGAAACGGTAGCTAAATTCGTGAAACTTTTTACGAGATCAACGCTTTGTTTTTAGGCGATTTAAAAATTAAAAATTTGTACAATAGGAGACAGACAGAACATTTTTGTCTTCATTTTCTGATTTTCATTAAAATAATGTATTCGTTATAAGATAAAGTACTCGATACAGTAAAATTGATTTCCAGAGTGAATTTGCAGCATTTTCACTATTATTCCTTGCAGAATTTTATGCGTGTTCCATTGCAGAAAGTGTAAAACGTTGCAAAAGGGAGGTTTCGATCTCGAAACGTATTACGAGACCAGGCATTGAAGTCTCCAACTTGAAATTTTTCCAACCAACACCGAATCGGTTCTAACAATAAAACTGGCAGTCGAAATAACCCATCTCTAATCAAACTTGTAAAAAATTTATACGACTTGTGTAATGTCATCGTACGTAAAAATAAACCGAGCTCCAGATTATCGTTCGTAGTTTTGATTTCGTTTCGATTGAAAGTTGTATACGGCTCCTGTTGGAAGTATCGTTAGCTTTTGGCGGAGGGTCCAGGTTCGACGAGGAACCATCTTGGTATTCTCAAAAAGTCAGCAAGGTAGCTCGTGTCAGGCGCGTGCTGCTCGCATTGGATTCGCAATACCGGACTGAGCTTACTCATCCGTCAGCGCGTTCGTCCACGTTCCCATCGTACCAGGAACGAGGGATATCGTTAGCCTGATCGCGTACGAGGCGCTACTGCCTACTTAATCAGTGACTAAACCCGCTAACCTGTTATTGAACCATACTGCTCCCCTAATGAAGGAGCTGTGCAAATTTTTGCATACGAACGTTCGCGAGTTCGGTACGATCTGTTTCACCGAGTTTCAAAATAAAGACATTTAATGTTTCATGGCCGATCATTGGTACCCTCCGATGTGTGAATATAGGTTATTTGCGCTTAACGAGTCAACTTGGAAACAAGTATTCTTGCCCAGTAAATCGACTTCCTCGCCTTCTCTTTCTCTACGTTCGTGCTTCCCTTTGGGATAAATTGTTGGTTCCGTTTGTGAGACTGTTTTCACTAAACACGCATCAGGGCTCTGCGCGATTCTTCTTCATTTCTTGCTATTACAATCGCGAGAAAATAGTAAATTTCAAGTTCAAAACATTCAAACATACAGGGTAAAAGATTCAATTAAAATCATCTGAACAAGTAAACTCTGGTAATATTGCATTTTTTTTCTTTTTATTTCTTTATCAAAATTATGGGTTTCTCTTCTTTTTCAAGAATTATTATTACAGTCAATAATTTAAGAAGAATGCTTTGGAAGCCATTATTGCTACCCCTAAACTGTGTTTGACCAAATTACTAAACCCTTGATCAAAAATGCCTACGTAGGGAAGTTATAATATAATGATAGTATTCTTGGAAATATCTATACTGTTGTAACAATGCAATATTTGTTAAAATTGTGAATACTATTGTGCTGTAGGAACGATGACGAAAAATTGAAACGCCGTGTATTTTCTCGATCTTATTTGCGGTTTATCGTTCTTCTAATCGAACATGCGATTTTCTTTCTTGATTTTACAGGCCAGGCGGATCTTCAACATCGACTACGCCGACTTGCATTCAACGTTTATAGACCATCATTACGATTGGCTACCCGGGTGGAGGGAAATTCCCAAGAATCTCGGAGAACAGTTGAATCAGGAATATTTAGACAAGTTGGAGGTACAGACGAATATTCGTTTATTTCTTTTCTCCCCTTTCACACTGTTGACACTTTTCTATCAGCTAACATCCACTTTAAACAAGTGAACAAAATTAAAAATTTAATTTCGAATATATTTTCTAATTTTATTCATTATTCTATTATAATTCCTTAATCGTTTAATCGTTATTCATGTATTTATCGTGTTTCGTTGTTATATGCGTGAAGACTGTTAATTACTAGGGAATAAGAAGAACAAATGTCTGTCAATGTTTCACGGTTTGATCAAAGGAATCTATAAATCTAAATAAATCTCGTTAAAAGCAATTTCCTCCGCGCGTGGTACAATTTAATTATAAATTATTTTTGCAAGAAGCGTTAAACGTTGAATTCTATTTATTCGCAGCTCGACAAGGCCCTCATTGACGCGTACGAATACATGCAAAAGTATGCGGTGGGTTTGGAACAGATAGTTTGGGACCAAGAGGATCTCCAACTCGCATTTCGCAAGCAGTTTAAGGACACAGAATACAAACTGCGAACGGTGAGTGAACGATTGTCGTCAAAAACTTAAATTTCTAAATAATCTAAGCTACGATACGTCTCGTTTTCTCGATAAAAAGTAGTACCGAAGTACCAGGTACAATCAGCTCGAATTATAGCACCTTTCATTGTCGCGAACGTTACAAAAAAATTTTACAGTTATTTGCACAACACTTTCGCGACTAAACGTTCTAGTCGCTAGATATGAAAAAACATTATGGGTTTATCGATCAACCGATCGTTGCTTTGTACAGTAAATTTCCATTCGATTTCCCTGATTTCACGATTCTGCTAATAACTTTTACACGAAGCAACGGTTTGACTAAGGTTTAAGTAATTTAGAATAGTATTTTAATTTACCTTCACACTATAAAATTAAAAAAACAGGTAAAAAATAAAGTTAGTTTTTCTTGTGATTTAATTGGAAGCAGAAATTACAGCATAGGGACAATCATCTTTGTTGAATATTAATTAGATAAGTCTTGGCTATTGCAATATCTTCGCTGTACTCCAAATCGTCTCAAACTTATCACGAAATCTTAGATGTTAACACGTAAATAAATACATTGATTGATTCTCTTTAAAGTTTTCTTGCACCGATAATATATAAAATTGTAGTTACACTATAACAATTGCTCCTGTTATTAAATATTTCAAATTACAAAGAGTATTCCATATGTTTTTTCCTCTACCATTATCACCGAGAAGAAATTGCAAATGGCCGACAGAACGAGGACGTAACGTGGTGAATTTTGTTTTGCAGGTTCTCTGCGAGCTGCAAGTGGCATTAGTGGAGCGGCAGCTGTCGTCGCGACCGGACGTCACCCGCGACATCATGAACGCCGATTTCCGAACGACGATGTCATCATCCGAGACGTACCGAAACCTACGCGACTGGTTGATCTTTCGGGACTACATGAACGGTCTCGAGTACGTGGTGCAGGTATTCGAGCACCTGCGCCGCGGTCTTCAGTCCTGAGGATGGCAAGGCGGAAGCCGAAGAAGGGCTACCAGACGACGACTCGCTCATCTTAGGAAACCGGAACAACCCAGCGTGGACGGGCAGTTTTCTTGAGATTACCGAGGAAGCGGGTACAATGGAAGAAGCCTAGACGTGCTCTGCCAAGCAGGTCAATGGCTACCATCGGTCCCGGTTCCAGTGTGTGTGTGTCTCTGCGACGATCACCGACCTATCTATCGACAGATCTACTCTCGATAGATATTTCGTGTCGTCGGTTCGCAAAAGTGCGCGCGTACGTCTGCGTCAAGTTAGCTACCGTAACTTTGAAACAGGATCGACGGGAACCGTCGACGAGCCTCGTCGATGATCGGCCGATGCTCGACGATCAGGATTCCGCGATACGACCGGAGAGAGAGAAAGACGGGAAGCTGAGTCGTTCGATAAACAGCCTGTTGGCTTTCGCCGCCGAGTTCACGATCGTGCAAAGACATTCGTCTTGTATACACGCTAGTTGCCGGTACGTGTTTTGTACCGCGTTGAACGCGTAACCATAAACGTGCAAGAAGATGGATATAGAAATCGACAGATCGCGAAATACCAGTTCTGGACCGATATCCTTCTTCGATTTGCCGAACAAAGAAGCCGTGTGCGAGCCCTCTCCCACGTTTACAACCTCCCTTGTCCGTCATTGTTGCTACCATCGATAGATTTTTACGATTCCCGGTTTTATTTACCCAACCTATTGCATTTTATTCGACGAAACGATATCCTCTTTTTACGATTTGGATCACCTTTTTTTTTTAACGTGAATTTTTAAACGTATATTTGTTCGAAGGAAGGAAAAATCGCGAGAGCGTTCGCACACGAGAAGGGAGAAGAGAAATGGATTCCGATGGGAATCCGACTAAACGAGCTTGTGCACCGCAGCGGTATTATATCCTAAGTACACAAGAAAATACAGTATTCGTGCTTTAAGTTAGACTATTCGCGTCGAGCGAGAAGAAAGTAAAGAAAAAATTCTGTGCGTAACTATATCGCGTGGTGACACGCGAGCAAGGATCTTCACGACGGTATCTTTTGTAACGTCGACGCGCTCGTCGCCAAGGAAACACGTTTCCCGACGAGCGACACGCGCCCTCCACCCCTCTTAATCCTATATAATAATTTATTAACTAACTGTAATATTATATTTGTATTTATTCAGATTATTTATTTTATTTTTGTAGAGATTTTACATGTCCGATTAACTGTATTTAAAGTGTCTAGTTGAGCTTAAAATTACCTAGAGCGTAAGAGAGAAATAGAAGGATATATATTTTAATTATTATTAATATCGTTAGTAGAATTTTTTTTTTTTTCATAATATCGTAGCGGAAGATGAAGGAAACGCATCGACGCGGCCGACGCCATTTTACGTTACGCGCCGCGCTGCTGCTGCTACTCTCTTCACTCGACGTACCTTTGGACTCGGCATGAAAATGTAAATTCGATAAGGAAATAATAGTTCAACATCCACCCCACCCCCACCCCCCTTTACCCCACCCCCGTACTTTTTATACGTTGCAATTTCTTGCAAGGAGAAATAGCGTATCTCAACTAGTTTTAAATCGATTTTTATCCGACATTGGTTCAACTTGGGCGCTTTAGAAAAAAATCTTTTTTCCTATCTTTATTATTTCTTTTTTTCTTTTAGCACCGAAGTCGATACTTTCCTGTTTCTTCTAGCCATTTTATACCCGAGACGCTGCTATAGTAGCTCGAGCGTATAATTTTATTTGCCGAGGAAAACCTTTGCTTTTCGAACTGTAAGGTTTTATCCATTTTACGGAAACGATTGTTCTTTTTCTTCTTTTTTTTTTTTACCGCTACAACGTTTTTCGAATTTTATCCTTACTCTTAGAGATATTGCGCGACTAGAAGGGTGCGTCGTACGAAGCTTCGCGGCGCTATTCGATCGAGGGTAATCGACTTCGCAGGTCCCTTTCGTACTTACAATTTGCTACCGAAACTTATAACACGAGCATCACGTCGGCTCGTAGAAAGTATGGTGTCGTTTTTTATTTAATTCTCGCGTCTATCGGGCGGCCTATAAGCTTATCGTGCGCGTCGAGCGCACGCACACGTTCATTATACGAAACACACTTTCATTTCCATATCATCGTGTCTGTGATATGCATCGTCGAAAGTCCCTCACGCGAATAATTATCATTGTTGAGAATCGAACTGCCTGATTCCCCTGCGAGGGAGAAGGAAAAGGGAGATAAAAGGGGAGAGTAGGAGAGGAAGAACATATTCGCGCGTGTATGTGTGTATGAGCGAGTGTGCGCGCGTGTGTGAGAGAGAGAGGCCTATCTGTGTGACAATGTCGATCTCGTAAATCGATCTCGAATACGCATTTCATTTTATCATGTTATTTTATACATTTTATTTTAATAGACAGTCTTCTGTCCTTTAAACGCACCGATCATTTTTTAGTATGTTTTTTTTTTTTTTGTTTTAAATAAGGAAGACTGCCATTTAGTTCGATTGTTTAAATCATCGTAGAATACAGATATATTTAAAAAATTGAGTATATCGTTGAGAACGTGTTAGGTTTATGCGCGGTTAGGAAGGACTTCGACAATTCAACTATTTCGATCGCAAGCAGCAGCGCAGTTCGAGCGTCGATCAGCTTAAATAATCCTATCGATAACTGATGCGGGTTTATTTTATTTTTCTTTTTCGTTTTTTCCCCCCCACTGAAAGGAGTTTTCTTTGTCCAGTGATTTCTTAAAAAAAATTTATTTTCGTATGGAATCAGCGTAAGCCGACTTTTGGCGATCTCTCTGTCCCTTGTTATTAGGAATCGTATATCTGTGTAAAGATACGTAGAACGTACCAGGCATATGACGAATACGGCTATTCGCGTTCTACTCGAACGGTTTCGTTCGCTTTGAAATGCCGAACGAACGATCCGGCGAATCGGTATCGTTGACCCTCCGACTATACGAGAAAAAAATCGACTTCAGTGACAGAGCCGGGCGCACATTCTACGCGATCGATACACGCAATGTACGGAAAATTTTTGTGTAAAATAATTACTGATTGCTTGGTATATGTTGTACATAAACGAATTTGATGATATAGAAGCTGCAAAATATAATTATATATGTGAATATGTAATATGTACACAGGCCCCTCCCCCAAAACGTCCGCTCTGTTGTATCATATTAAACCAAAGACAGTTCAACATGAAATATATTGCGGTTTATTTGACTTCGGTGACACTTTCCAATCCCTTTAAAAATTTTTCCTCGATTAACGACCCATAAAATACGATGTACTTTCGTGGTTAAATCGGTTGTCGTCTGATTAGTTCAAAGTAAAATTTACGTTCGTAATTTTCAAGAGTTGCTTTATAGAATTCTCAAAACTTAAATTTTTTTAAATTTTTCCACATAAATGACTATGAAATAATATATATTTCGTACGATATTAATTGTCCACTTATAATCATATAATTACATTCCTAATTTTCAAGAGTTACTTTATAGAATTCTAAAAACTTAAATTTTTAAAAATTCTTATAATATTTTTTCATATAGATGATTACTTCGAACGTCAAAACTGCGACTATAACGATATTAATCGCTATGTATTTTAAATTATTCAACTTGAGAAGAAGCATAGACAACTTTCATAATTTATAAATTTATATGATTGATGAGGCCTACTGTCAACGAATGTTTAATCGGAATTACGTGATTTAGATTCGTATCAGTTCTATGCGAAATTAAGTGGTAAGTGTGGAAACTTTAAAATAGAATAACGAAACAGATTATTGTATCTGAGAAGTGTCATTTAACTAAAGGAATTAGTATAGTAATTGAGCATTGAGTTTGACAAGAAGAATAATTATTTTTACGGGAAACTATGTATGAATTCTATTGAATTTTATATTTGTATCCAGATAAAAATTTTGAATAACAAATAAAACACAAACCGCCGTTTATTCGTAACTCGTCGCATAAATATTTCAATTGTAAAACGACATATTTCCCGATTAACTAATGGAATTGTAATCATTCGATTGAATAAACGACACAGATTCCTGTATATTGACTTTATCGATTATCTATCGTTCGAATGGAATTTTCATCTCTGATTTATTTCTATACGAGTCAGCTTGATCTGCAACCGAATTAATTGATGCAATTCTCACGAGAAAATATATTTAATAGTTTCTTATCGGTATTTAACATGGATGTGTTACTCTAAATCAATATACAGAGCAATATTCCATTTCTTTCAACGGTGAGAGCACATATTTGTCATTTTAATTGAGATTTTACTTGAACTTTAGAACCTTAATTCCGTGCCAAAATCATTTACATTATACATGGAATATCATAAGAAAGAAATGGAACAAAATTTGGTCCACAACTAGCAGAACAAGAGCTCATAACACAATACAATACCTCTATTAAGAAACGAATAGAATAGATCATAGTGGCTAGATTCAGACAAAAACACATCAAAATTTCCCATGATTACTTTATTAAGAGAACCGACCAACCTCCACAGTTGGACAAATTTTATTCACGAATAACGAGTAAAATATTTAGATTCATTCTTAAACTAGCATTTACACTAACCTAATATAGACCACCATGATACATGATTGTAAACAAATAAAAAAGTAGAAACTAATCAAATGTTTCGATCTAATATTAGACATTTTCAAAGTGTAAAATATCATTGATAACACTGTAAAATTGTGTAGAACTTGAAAAATGATTCGTCGTAATAACTGTCATCCAAACTAATCTATTCCTCAAATTTAATTTCCTTGTTCTAGATGAGAAGTCTTACACGGAAGAAATTTGTCATAATAAAATTTGAAAGGTGAGTATATCTAGGTAAAAAATTCCAAGAAAATGAGAACAAGATCGAATTGGATCAAATTGAATATTACAAATATCTCGATTCGTTTTTTTATGGTAGGAAGAATCGATCGTTATTAAATCCCGTTGATAATTTTCAGGCTGGAGCAAGAACGACTTGTCGTTTCCCATGATCAATGGCCGAGGCGTCCTGTCTTCGGTGCTGCCTACGTCGTCGATGTTTGAGAGGAAACGCGTAAGTACATGATCATCATCCCGGGCACGGCTCTGTCCCAAGCCGCCGTGTTTGTCCACGCTGTTAGCTCGTTGTCATCGCTCTCCCAACTTACCTTCTCATAAGGATTTCTACTTCACTCGTGCTGACCGTCTGTTTGACGATCCGTGCCCGTCTTCCCTTCTGTGTCCTCGCCCAGGTGGTTTCTCGAGCGCCGCCAAGGTGTCAATGTTTTGCCTAGCCATTAAGATCGTTAGTCCTCGTTCCTGCATCGCCAAGTGTATTTGGTGAAGAACGATCCGGACATCGAATTCTATCGTAATTATAACAGACAAAGCCCCTTGTTTAGCGTTTATTTATAGACCAAAGGCATCTAACATGCAACACCACCTTTCGAAAATCTCTCGAAAACAAAGTAACTTGCCTTTATCAAATTCGTATGGTTGGGGGCGTTGGAATTATAGCGCGAAAATATTGAGCTCCAAATGAAACTACTTGTTCGAGTTACCTATTATAGAGCACCAAAATGGGGACCTAGAAACTATCCCTTCTACTATTTAACTATAAAAAATCGTATTGTATACAAGAAAATTGTAATTCACTTTGGAGATCTCTGAGCAGTCGAAACGCTCGTCCCCGGTATTCTTTCGCGATCGACAAACCGATGAGCGAGAATGTACGTAAACAGGTGAGATCGATCGCCGATTCTCAGGTATGGGTTTGTTTTGAAATATTGTCAGCGATATAAATATTCATGCGTCCCGTTATACAACGATCGGGAGAAGGCGGAGTATTTAAGGCTGGTTAACAAGGCGAGGAGCGAAATCCGAACAGTGAAATCCGAAAGGTCCGCGCGGCGCATGCATACCGTCGGGGCCCAGGAGAGTCCCGAAAAAGGATGACGCGTCGGTGTCTTCGCCGATGATGCAGGTAGGGATCGACGATCGGATCTCATGCGGCGAGGTATGAATGAGTCGTGAGAAGAGGCCAAAAAAATTGGTCGGTACCATGAATGGCTGGGAAAACTGCGACGTTCCCGCGGAGAATGTACCGTCTCTCTCCCTCCTTGGCTGGTTCTGGCTCGGTGTTGTTCGTTTTGGCCGATCCTCGATGACGGCGAAGTGCCGACGATTCTTTTGCACTTCGTTTCGAGCAAGTCCTGGGAGCGGTAGGGAATCGTCTAGCCTCCGTTGCCGCGGGCAAATACTTCGGCTCCTTTCAGCTCGAAAAAAATAGGAGGCCTCGTTGTAATTAGGACAGTGCGCCCGCATGGCCTGTTGGATGGAGACTCCACCACCTCCTCTCCATTCTCCTTCATCACTCGCTATCTCGTCCTTCCTGCCTTTCTCCATCTTCCATTCTCCTTCTCTCTCGCCATCGTGTCTCTTTCTTTTCTGACTCTCTTCTTCTTTCCTCCCGTCTTCTGTCGTCCTTGAATATCCGAAGGCATCCTGCCGCTACATTCCTAGTGACCCTCGAGACAACTTTCAATAACGTTGAGACAAAAGACTTCCAAAGTTGAGTGGTCCCCGTGCCCGGAGCGCCCGTGAAACCCTTTGCGCGCGGAGACACGACCACTGCGCGTATTCCCGATTCACCGACCAGGTGTAAACAGTCCTTGCCCGCCATTCATTAGCCCTATTTAACCCGCAGCTGAACCATTTTTGCTCATTGGATATATAATAATATTTATAAGTCCTGGTGACGACAAATCTGCATGAACGATTTTATTGTAACACAAATTATCTTACGATCGAATCGAGTCTAATCGTTGCTGAACACAAAATGTCCGCCCGTGACAGTCACTGGTAAGGGATTAAAAATAAAAAATAACACCTTGCCAACCCGTTTACTTTTCATTTCTCATCCTCATTTTTGAGGTCATTCGATTCGTCTCGGTGTCTGTTAATTGATGAAAGAAACAATTATAGAATTATATATAAAAAAGAGTCGATGGTGACCTCGAGAATCCTTTGAAATCGTATCTATGATAAAAAAAAATTGTTTCGTCCACTAGTTATAAAATTAATTGAGTTGGTCAAATGTTTATGCATACCATACTATGATTAATTTTAAAACATATTTTTCCAAATTACTATTGCTACATTTACGTTAAATATATTACCGAGGAAATACACGTGATCCTGAGGTACAAATAGAAATATTTAAATTGCACATGGATTTTTCGAAACGAAATATAAAAAATAGCAAGTATCGTTGTTTGGTTTCCATGATAGGTGCAAGTTAGTATGACGTTAGTATTGACTGTGAGGAAAATGAAGACGGAATAAGGTTACTCTAAATTACTGCTGATTGAGAGACTTTGCTATGCTAATAGCTTTCAGCCCTCGACCGCCTACCACAGATACCGTGTTCCAGAATAACCTTGATTTATTTCACGACTAATTTTATCCGATTAACTGGCGAAACATGCGTTACACTAATTGGTTACGGAACGTTTACATCGTTTATACGACGCTTCGTCGATCTTTCCTCTAAAGACTCGTTCGATTTATATCTCAATTATTTGATGTTTCTAGCGCGTAAATTGCTTACGACGTATAAAACCTCGTCGATAAATAAAATAAATTGTCTGAGATGCAACAGATTTTATATATTGTTACATATCGCACGACAATTAAAGTATTCAGAGTTATTAGAGTAAGTAGAGTTATTACTCGATACTTTTGACTTCATAAAAGAATAATTTAAATATGGATTGGAAGCTATGACTTTTATTCATACTTAAATAATTTGGACGTGTTTTTTTCAATTTTAATCACCAGTTTTACGTGAGGGTATCTATGAATTCTGTAGAATTTTATATTTCCATCTAGATCAAAATTTCGAGTAACAAATAAAACACCAAACCGCCGTTCAGTCGTTGCTCGTTAAATAAATATTTCTCAACGAACTAATAAAATTGTAGTCGTTTGATCGAACAGGCAACACGAATTCCGAAATAACGATCGAAAGAGACAATGAATTCCGAGTTTTACAGTAGAATACCCCTTTGGGGGTACGAATATTGTTTGTTTTTTATTCGTGCGTCCTTGTGGCGTTCGTCAAATTCTGATGCAGCGCAGAAGTTTATTACCGACAAAGGACCGGGTATAA